CACTGTAAGTCGCACGATTTCAAAGTTGGGCTTGATGTGAACGGGGGGGGGGGGGGAAGCTGCACCAGATTTTGCACCCTCCAGGTTTAGTAAGTAACCCCTATACGTTTTATTATATAGAAACTATAGCACCGTCAATTTGTACATATATATGTTGCGCAGTCGCATCGGTCCCCTAACCCTCAAGGGGTCTTATCATCCTTTGTGAGAACAGTCAGAATTCCCACTTTTTGTACGCCCCCGCCCCCTCCACCATTGTCAGTGTAACGGCCGGACGGGCTGACCTAATTCACCGACCACACAAAGTACAACTTGAAATCGGTTACCTTGGGGCCGTGCGTCCGAGTTCGCTCCTCTTCCAGCACTCTGCGTCCTGCAGCCAAACTCAGGGAAGCCTCAAAAGATAACTGGGAGCTTTATCTGCCAGCTTGGCCCGCAGACCGCCGCGGCGCAGCTTTCTGAGTGCACAGAGGGTGTTATACCAACTTCCAGCGTGAGAACACTAGCAATGTGAAAACAAACAAGCGGGGATGGAGCTGGCGGGCAGGAATAACCGGGCCACTCTCCCTCCCTCCATTCTGATTCCAAATGGAGCGATTCTTATTCAAATTGGTACTGTCACTGGTGAGCGGAGGGCTGAAAGGGGAGCGCACGGTTTCCAGGCTACAGGAATGCAGAGCCTGATTCTTTCTGCTCTGTGGGTCATACACTAAGCCTGGAGCCTCTGCTGCTTTTTTATTAGGAACCGTCCTGTGGGCCGCTGCGACCGGCCTGTTTCCAAGTCCTACCAAGCTGGCCATCGCCCCGCCATTGCTGTGCCCTGCCTCCTACGCCGAGGCTCATTTATGTACTTTTCACGAGCGGCACAAACAAGTTGCGCCTCGGAGTACCAGGGTGGGCAAAGTAACAGAAAGACCACTGGTGAAGAAGCCGCTCAGTTGTAGTTCTAAACCGAAACCCCCCCCAAAAAATAAATATATTGCATTGTTAGATGCGGTGGCTGCAATATGCAGGCCATACACGAGTCGAATTCCGAACAAAATTTCTTTAGGAAATCTGAACTTTCGTGCATTTTGTAATTCTGACGGTGCAGCCATTGATTTCGACATTCTACCAACCGAGCCTTCAATTTCACCTTTTGTTGCTACAGAAAAGAATTTTGGGCTCTTTCACACGGACTCTGTGATTGGACACGAGTCTGTCTACACCCACCGACATCCGATCCACCAAAAAGGGACAGATGGGGATCCAATTCTGTGGGTCATACACTAAGCCTGGAGGCTCTGCTGCTTTTTTAGTAGGAACCTTCCTGTGGGCCGCTGCGACCGGTCTGTATCCAAGTCCTGCCAAGCTGGCCGTTGCCCCGCCATCGCTGCTCCCTGCCTCCTACACCAAGGCTCATTTATGTACTTTTCACGAGCGGCACAAACAAGTTGCGCCTCGGAGTACCAAGGTGGGCAAAGTAACAGAAAGACCACTGGCGAAGAAGCCGCTCGGGTTTGTAGTTCTAAACCGAAAAAATACCCCCCAAAAATATAATATATTGCATTGTTAGATGCGGTGGCTGCCATATGCAGGCCATACACGAGTCAAATCCCGAACAAAATTTCTTTAGGAAAGCTGAACTTTTATGCGTTTTGTAATTCGACGGTGCCGCCATTGATTACGAAATTCGACCAACCGAATTTTCACCTTATGTTGCTACAGAAAAAATTTTTTTTAGTGCTCTGATACCTGACACTGATTCTTTTACGGTGCAATTTGAGCCCATACAAAATGAATGGCTCAAATCGCACTGCGCCTGCAAGGAAACCGTATGTGAGTCGCACCGCATTCCTGTTCAAAGCGCATGCGATTCTTTGCAGTGAGATTTGAGCCCATTCATTTTGTATGAGCTCAATTCACCCCACAAATGTATCGGTAATTGGTATCCGTGTGTACCTGAGTATTGGTACTCCTAATCGCTGGTTAAAAAACAGAATTGGGTGCAACCCTACCTAACACAAATCCTCTACCCCTCAAGTATTCCCTCTGAGCATAAATCCTCTCCCCCCTCTAAATCCCCCTCTCCAAGCACAAATACCCCAAATCCCATCTCCTAGTACTAATCCCCCCCAAAAAACTTTTCCCTCCCAACACAAATCCCCCCAATTATCCCTACTAGCACAAATCCCCCCCATCCCCTTTCCTAACATAAATCCCCCCCCCCCCCAATTATCCTACTAGTACAAATCTCCCCCCATCCCCTTTCCTAACATAAATCCCCCCCCCCCCCCAATTATCCCTACTAGTACAAATCCCCCCCCCCCCATCCCCCCTAACACAAATCCCCCCCATTTATCCCTACTAGCACAAATCCCCCCCCCCCCATCCCCTTTCCTAACACAAATCCCCCCCATTTATCCCTACTAGCACAAATCCCCTCCCCCCATCAACTTTCCTATTATGAAATCCCCCCAATTATCTCTACTAGCACAAATCCCCCCCCCATCCCCTTTCCTAACACAAATCCCCCCTCAATTATCCCTACTAGCACAAATCCTTCCCCCCCCCACCATCCCCTTTCCTATGACAAATCCCCCCAATTATCTCTACTAGCACAAATCCCCCCCCATCCCCTTTCCTACCACAAAACCCCCCCCCCCCCCAATTATCCCTACTAGCACAAATCCCCCCCCAAACCCTTTCCTAACACAAATCCCCTCAATTATCCCTACTAGCACAAATTCCCCCCCCCATTCCCTTTCCTAACACAAATCCCCCCAATTATCCCTACTAGCACAAGTCCCCCCCACCCCTTTCCTAACACAAATCCCCCCCCCCCAATTATCCCTACTAGCACAAATTCCCCCCCCCCATTCCCTTTCCCTAAGCACAAATTCCCCCCCAATTATCCCCTACTAGCACAAATCCCCCCCACCCCATAACACAAATCCCCCCCCCCCCCCAATAATCCCTACGTTTTTTTATACAAATCCCCCCAATATCCCTACTAACACAAATCCCCCCCATCCCCCTACCAAAATTCCCCACCCCCCCCCATACACAATTATCCTACTAGTTCCATAATCCCCCCCCAATAATCCCTAATAGCACAAATCACTCCCCCCCATCCCCTTTCCCCTCCATAAAGCACCCCCCCCCAACCCCCATTTCCTATAACTTTTTTTTTTATTTAATGGTTGAACTAGTTCAGCAACCCCCCCCCCCCCCCAATCCCCTCTCCTACCACAAATCCCCCCCACAAATTATCCCTACTAGCACAAATCCCCCCCCCAACCCATTTCCTAACACAAATCCCCCCCCAATAATCCCTAATAGCACAAATCCCCCCCCCCCCCCATTCCCTTTCCTAACACAAATCCCCCCGCCATCCCCTTTCCTATAACTTTTTTTTTTTATTTAATGGGTTGAACTAGTTTGACAAATCCCCCCCCCCCAATCCCCTCCTCCTACAACACAAATCCCCCCCCCCCAATTATCCCTACTAGCACAAATCCCCCCAACCCCCATTTCCTACCACAAATCCCCCCAATAATCCTAATAGCACAAATCCTCCCCTCCCCCCATCCCCTTTCCTAACACAAATCCACCCTTAATTAGTAAACCTCCCTCCAAATCACCCCCCCCAGCACAACCTCCCAAATCCCCACTGTGCCCGGGGGCAGCCGCCCCTCCTGCCCCATCAACCCTTGTCCCGGCCCCTGCCTGGACCTTCCTGCCCTCCCACACGGTCCCCTGGCGGCTTGTATTTTAGGGCATATGGATATTAATGTTATCGGACAATTCACAGTGAAAGGGTTGTCATGCCATTTACTATTACTCCAGGCCATAACTGCCACTTACACCCGACTGCCCTCCAATCCGCCTAGACGGAGGAGGACGGATCCCCTTTTTTTTAGAGGAGAGTCAGATCAAATTGGAGGTAGGTAGGTGTGAATGGACACAAGTCTGTTTACACCCAATGGCCCATTAAGGGTGCATGGAGGGTCCCGTCAGGTCCGCCTAAAATACTGACAGGTGGACCTATCAGTTCCCTGCGTGTTAAAGGGGCCAAATACTATGCCCTTCTGTAGCCACTCTCCCCCCACTCTCCAAATTCTTGGCGGAGGCCATTGGCTCTGCTGCTGTCAATCTAATCCTGTGAGCCATGCTGTGTGTGTCAATAGACCCGCACAGCCCAGCTCAGGAATGAGCCTGAACAAGTGCCCCCAAGAATTTTGCTATATGAGCACTTGGAGAAAAAAGGAGCCTACGGCACCAGTAGGAGACCCCAGAGGAGGAGGTTCGGGGCCACTCTGTGCAATTCAATTGCACAGAGCAGGTAGGTATGACATGTTTCTTATTTACCGAGAAAATGAAGTCTTTGCAATCCCTTTACGGCAACCCATTGAATGGCCTGACAATGCACTGGAACAGAACAAAATATGGACGTATGTTATAAATGGGCTGCCAACACACAGGAAACGACCTAAAAATCAACATATTATCGGCCGCCCCCAAAAAATATGATTTTTTTAAATTATTGTGCAACATATTTAAGTTTTTTTGATTTTATATACTGTATATATTTCATTTTATTTTCTGTCCAGTTTTCTGCTTTTACTTTCAGTAAAAGTAATTTTACTTTACTGGATTGTATTTTTTAAATTCATTACATTAATTCAAACATTGAATAAAATATAATTATTTCTAAAAAATATTTTTGTGATGTCATCGCGGCTGTAACTCATCAGTTGCGACGTCATCGCGACTGCGGCTGTGACTGATTGGCTGTGATGTCATCACGGCCGTGACTCATCAGCTGCAAACGTCATCATGACTGCGGCCGTGACTGATCTGCTGTGCTCGTTACATTGGGAGTCAGTGAGAAGAATGTCCCTTACATTGGGGGTCAGTGAGAAGAATGTCCCTTACATTGGGGGTCAGTGGGAAGAATGCTCCTTACATTGGTGGTCAGTGAGAAGAATGTCCCCTTACATTGGGGGTAAGTGAGAAGAATGTCCCTTACATTGGGGGTCAGTGGGAAGAATGTCCCTTACATTGGGGATCAGTGGGAAGAATGCTCCTTACATTTGTGGTCAGTGGGAAGAATGCTCCTTACATTGGTGGTCAATGGGAAGAATGTCCCTTACATTGGTGATCAGTGGGAAGAATGTCCCTTACATTGGTGATCAGTGGGAAGAATGTCCCTTACATTGGGGATCAGTGGGAAGAATGCTCCTTACATTTGTGTCAGTGGGAAGAATGCTCCTTACATTGGTGGTCAATGGGAAGAATGTCCCTTACATTGGTGATCAGTGGGAAGAATGTCCCTTACATTGGTGATCAGTGGGAAGAATGCCCCTTACATTGGGGATCAGTGGGAAGAATGTCCCTTACATTGGGGGTCAGTGGGAAGAATGTCCCTTACATTGGTGGTCAGTGGGAAGAATGTCCCTTACATTGGGGGATCAGTGGGAAGAATGTCCCTTACATTGGGGATCAGTGGGAAGAATGCCCCTTACATTGGTGATCAGTGGGAAGAATGTCCCTTACATTGGGGTCAGTGGGAAGAATGCCCCTTACATTGGTGATCAGTGGGAAGAATGCTCCTTACATTGGTGGTCAGTGGGAAGAATGTCCCTTACATTGGGGGTCAGTGCGAAGAATGCCCCTTACATTGGTGATCAGTGGGAAGAATGCTCCTTACAGTGGTGATCAGTGGGAAGAATGTCCCTTACATTGGGGTCAGTGGGAAGAATGTCCCTTACATTGGTGATCAGTGGGAAGAATGCTCCTTACATTGGGGGTCAGTGGGAAGAATGTCCCTTACATTGGGGGTCAGTGGGAAGAATGTCCCTTAAATTGGTGGTCAGTGGGAAGAATGTCCCTTACATTGGTGGTCAGTGGGAAGAATGCCACTTACATTGGGGTCAGTGGGAAGAATGTCCCTTACATTGGTGGTCAGTGGGAAGAATGCTCCTTAAATTGGTGGTCAGTGGGAAGAATGTCCCTTACATTGGTGGTCAGTGGGAAGAATGCCACTTACATTGGGGGTCAGTGGGAAGAATGTCCCTTACATTGGTGATCAGTGGGAAGAATGCCCCTTACATTGGTGATCAGTGGGAAGAATGTCCCTTACATTTGGGTCAGTGGGCAGAATGTCCCCTACATTGGGGATCAGTGGGAAGAATGCTCCTTACATTGGTGGTCACTTGGAAGAATGTCCCTTACATTGGTGATCAGTGGGAAGAATGCTCCTTACATTGGTGGTCACTTGGAAGAATGTTCCTTACATTGGTGGTCAGTGGGAAGAATGCTCCTTACATTGGGGGTCAGTGGGAAGAATGCCCCTTACATTGGTGATCAGTGGGAAGAATGCTCCTTACATTGGTGGTCAGTGGGAAGAATGTCCCTTACATTGGGGGTCAGTGCGAAGAATGCCCCTTACATTGGTGATCAGTGGGAAGAATGCTCCTTACAGTGGTGATCAGTGGGAAGAATGTCCCTTACATTGGGGGTCAGTGGGAAGAATGTCCCTTACATTGGTGATCAGTGGGAAGAATGCTCCTTACATTGGGGGTCAGTGGGAAGAATGTCCCTTACATTGGGGGTCAGTGGGAAGAATGTCCCTTAAATTGGTGATCAGTGGGAAGAATGTCCCTTACATTGGTGGTCAGTGGGAAGAATGCTCCTTAAATTGGTGGTCAGTGGGAAGAATGTCCCTTACATTGGTGGTCAGTGGGAAGAATGCCACTTACATTGGGGGTCAGTGGGAAGAATGTCCCTTACATTGGGGGTCAGTGGGAAGAATGCTCCTTAAATTGGTGGTCAGTGGGAAGAATGTCCCTTACATTGGTGGTCAGTGGGAAGAATGCCACTTACATTGGGGGTCAGTGGGAAAGAATGTCCCTTACATTGGTGATCAGTGGGAAGAATGCCCCTTACATTGGTGATCAGTGGGAAGAATGTCCCTTACATTTGGGTCAGTGGGCAGAATGTCCCCTACATTGGGGATCAGTGGGAAGAATGCTCCTTACATTGGTGGTCACTTGGAAGAATGTCCCTTACATTGGTGATCAGTGGGAAGAATGCTCCTTACATTGGTGGTCACTTGGAAGAATGTTCCTTACATTGGTGGTCAGTGGGAAGAATGCTCCTTACATTGGGGGTCAGTGGGAAGAATGCTCCTTACATTGGTGGTCAGTGGGAAGAATGTCCCTAACATTGGTGATCAGTGGGAAGAATGCCCCTTACATTGGGGGTCAGTGGGAGCACAGTGGCTAAATGGTTAGCACTTCTGCCTGGCAGTACTAGGGTTGTTGGTTTGAATCCCTGAGCCTGTGTGGGTTTCCTCTGGGTACTCCGGTTTCCTCCCACACTCCAAAGACATGCTGGTAGGTTAATTGGCTCCTGTCTACATTGTCCCTAGTATGTGTATGTATGAATGTTCTCCCTGTGCCTGCGTGGGTTTCCTCCAGGTACTCCAGTTTCCTCCCACACTCCAAAGACATGCTGGTAGGTGAATTGGCTCCTGTCTAAATTGTCCCTAGTATGTGTATGTATGAATGTGAGTTAGAGACCTTAGATTGTACGCCCCTTGAGGGTTAGGGACCTTAGATTGTACACCCCTTGAGGGTTAGGGACTGATGTGAATGTACAATATATATGTAAAGCGCTGCGTACATGGACGGCGATATATAAGTACCTGAAATAAATAAATTCTGTAAAAAACCTCTTAGATGGGTATCCTAGTGAAAGCAATATACAGGGAGATGAGTGATGGCAGACATAAATACATGCACACCCAGGCAGGATGGACTGATGTCTTTATTCAACCTTACCAACTATGTAACTCACAACAATGGTTAAAAAAAACGCACATGACAGATTTTTCAGCAATGCAGCGCACCGCAACACGCAGTATATATTGCTCTGTGCCTGCCATGACCTTCATTCATGTCAGTTCTATGTGACGGACGTTCCTAATGATGACAATGGTGAACTGTGTGACGGTTTGATTGACAGCTTTGTCTGGAATGTCCCCTCCCCCCCTCCTTCAGTCGCTCTTCAGGTGGCAGATGTAGTGATCTCAGGAGAGAGTCTGGAGTTTTCTCAGGTGAATTGTCTATATAAGGAGCGCATGAATGGAGGAAACACAACGACTTCCAGCCAACAGCTTCCCCAGCAGCTAAATAATAGCAACAGGAATTTGTCTCCTCGGATGAATGAGCTAATGTGTGAGGTCGGGGCGAATGTGTGAGGTCGGGGCGAATGTGTGAGGTCGGGGCAAATAATTAGCCGGCGTCTTCACTGAGCGAGATCGGCATCTCCTGGATCGCATCTGCACTCATAATCAGGGCACTGTTTATTAGTGCATCCCCAAAAGTTCCCAACAGTGCTGCCCAGCAGTGCTGCCAATCTGTGCCGGTCAGTGCCACTAGTCCATGCCATCAGTCAGTGCTGCCAGTCAGTGTCCTTCAGTGCTACCTGTTAGTGCCCATCAGTGCTGCCTATCAGTGCCGCATATTACTGCAGCATCATCAGTGCCTCCTCATCAATGCCCACCAGTGCCGCCACATCAGTGCAGCCTATCAGTGCTCATCATTGCCGCCTACCAGTGCTGCATATCAGTGCCTCCTCATCAATGCCCACCAGTGCCTCCACATCAGTGCAGCCTATCAGTGCTCATTATTGCTGCCTACCAGTGCCGCATATCAGTGCCTCCTCATCAATGCCCACCAGTGCTGCCTCATCAGTGCTGCCTATCAGTGCTCATCATTGCCACCTACCAGTGCCACATATCAGTGCCTCCTCATCAATGCTCACAAGTGCCGCCTCATCAGTGCTGTTTATTAGTTCCCATCAGTGCTGCCTATCAGTGCCGTATATCAGTGCCTCCGCATCAGTGTCCACCAGTGCCGCCTCATCAGTGCAGCCTATCAGTGCCCATCAGTGCTGCCTATAAGTGCCGCCTCATCAGTGCCCATCAGTGCTGTTTATTAGTGCCCATCAGTGCCGCCTATCAGTGCTGCATATCAGTGCCTCCTCATCAATACCCACCAGTGCCGCCTCATCAGTGCAGCCTATCATTGCTGCCTGTAAGTGCCTCTCATCAGTGCCGATCAGTGCTGTTTATTAGTGCCCATCAGTGCTGCCTATCAGTGTCTGTCAGTGCAGCCTCATCAACACACATCAGTGAATGAGAAAAAATACCTGTGTGCAAAATTTTACAATAGAAACAAACAAAACTTTTTTTTCCGCTCTTTTTTTTTCCTTTCTAGTGCAATAAATACCCCCCATGGTCATTACATAGCACCCAAAGAAAGCTCTATTTGTGTGAAAAACAAATTTCATATGGGTACAGCGTTGCATGACTGCGCAATTTGCATTCAAATTGCGTCAGCACTGAAAGCTGAAAACTGTCCCGGTCAGGTGGAGGGTGAAGGTGTCCAGGAGGCGAGGGGTTAAATATGGCGCTGACTTTCCTCTCCTGCGCTGTAAATACATTTGTATCTGGAAGTTCAGCTTCCAATGTGTTCTCTAAACAGAAGCCTCAGATCCATCACTGACTTCCTGTTGTGTCAGACATGATGGGGGCTTCACTTCCCTCCAGACAATGGAAACATGACCTCGTCTGCTCTCCATGACAGGGGGAATCCTTTCCGCAAATTAGTCTCCCCCTCCAGGGAAGGAATGATCCAGGTAGAGAGGTGATGTATGTCTACGCCCCGGGTGACACATGCCATAGGAGGCCTTCCTCCCCGATGTGCAAAGCCGATATATGTCATCCATGTAAAGTGCTCCTAACATCACATCGTTATTATTATTATTAGTATTATTATTATTATTATTATTTAACAGGATTTATATAAATTATTATTATTATTATTATTAGACAGCATTTATATAAATTATTATTATTATTATTAGACGGGATTTATATAAATTATTATTATTATTATTATACAGGATTATATTATATTATTATTATTATTATTATTATTAGACGGGATTTATATAAATTATTATTATTATTAGACGGGATTTATATAAATTATTATTATTATTAGACAGGATTTATAAAAATTATTATATTATTATTATTATTAACGGGATTTATATAAATTATTATTATACAGGATTTATACAGGATTTATATAAAAAAATTATTATTAGACAGGAATATAAATTTATATTATAAATTAATATTATTATTATTAGACAGGATTTATATAAATTATTATTATTAAAAAATAAAGGATTTATAAAAATTATTATTATTATTATAAAAAAAAAAATAAATAAATTATTAATATTATTATTAACAGGATTTATATAAATTATTTTTAAATTTTAAAAATTTATACAATATTATTATATAAAATTATTAAATTATTATTATTAAAAGGATTTATATAAATTATTATTATTTATTATTATTAACAATTTATATAAATTATTATTATTATAATTATATAAATTATTTATAAATAAAAATATTATTTATTAAAAATAAGGATATATATAAAAATTTATTAAATTATAATTATTTTTATAACGGGATTTATAAAAATTATTATTATTATAAAATTTATTATTACAAATTTATATAAAAAATTATTATTATTAAAGACGGGATTTATAAATAAAAAATTAGACGGGATAAAAAAATATTAATAGACAGGATTTATATAAATTATTATTATTATTATTATTAGACAGGATTTATATAAATTATTATTATTTTTATACAGGATTTATATAAATTATTATTATTATTATTAGAAAGGATTTATATAAATTATTATTATTATTATTATTAGACAGGATTTATATAAATTATTATTATTTTTATACAGGATTTACCGTATATAAAAAATTATTATTAAATTATACAGGATTTATATAAAATATTATTATTATACAATATAAATTATTATTATTTTTATTTAGCGCCAACAGTTTGCTCAAAAAAAATACAAAATGAAGGCAGACATTACAGTTACACTACAATTTGGTACAAGAGGAGACAGAGGGCCCTCATACCCAACAATGACCGTCTCTCATCGGCAAAACTTTGTTCTCCTAACAAATTCAGCCCCCACCCCTATACACCCCCCTTGGGACCAAAGCAATTGC